GTCGTATTAACCTTTATCTATTCGTTGAAAGAGGTATAACTATCGAGTTTCAGATTATTTCATTTTTGTTATTGTAATTGACTTGTCTAGCCAAAATATTGTGCAGCTAAATGCATTAATTTGCATATTCATTTATTATAGATTTTATTGGGTACCAAGCTAGCGTAATTTGTTCACATTGCTTTTACTGAATAATTACGTTTTGATACTATTAGACACTTAGATAAGATTTTTTCTCTATTGCGATAAATATACGTATAATACTACGGTATTATTGGCTTGATCCAATTCCTCTTGTCACGAACTTTTTGATCTCTGTCGCTAAGATTAAATCGATCTGAACATATTAAGTGAAGGAAAATAATTAATCTTTTCTATTCCATCATACCATCATAGAATCACGAACATTAATTGAATTTGCCATGGCTTTTGGACACTACTTTCTGATTGTTTTATTATGCTTTATCGTCGTGCAAAGTTCTCCAGTTAAAAAGTAAGCAAATATATGCGCTAATATTACGTAATCATCATTCATCTTAATATTTAGAGTCTTCTGCTATAAGATTTTGGGCATTAAAGTATATTAAAATCGTTATAGCGATTTTATATTAAAAGTATAACATAGATGTTTTCAAGTAATGATGTATACCGTAGCACAGTATTATTTTGATCATGTTTTAACTGAGAATAAATCTATCATGATGCTCGATCTATCAAGTCTTAAAGTAATATTACAGATAAATAAATGTTAAAGTCACAACAATTTTGCTTTAATGAATTTTCTGGGGTGCCTGAAAATATTAGAGAAGATAACATGCTCTTGGATAGGTTAGTGTTCTCATTCAGAAAATTACATTACGATGATGCATTCGATATAGCAGAATTCCGTTAAAAAATAAACTATGTATTTTCTTAACTTAAATCTTTGCTGTCCGACGCTCATAATTACAGCTCAGTAAATTTTTATGGCACGTTGAATAATTTAATGTTGATTTAAACTAAATAGTTATAATACATTTTGAGAGTGCGGTTTCTAATATTGACTTTTACTCTTATCTTTTACGTCAGATACATGGACAATTCAGCAAAGAGGTAAGACACATGCTTATCTTTAAGTTTGCTTTTGCTTCAATCTATACACCATATATACATTAGGTAAAAGTTAGTCTAAAGCAAAAAGGTCATTTATGTCGATGATTCTTCATTTAAAGTATTGCTATCTTACTGCTATTCCTTTACCATAAACCAGCTTATAATTTAGTATTAGTCCTAGTCTATGACTAACTCTATTTCGAATAACATTACTATAAGGGCAAAATAGTACCTTAACACCAATATCCATATAGGGATTAGTACCAAGTTTTAGCTTTCAAATATAATAATATACGAGTACAAGAACTTCAGAGCTAAAACTAAATACTTCTCATAATTCTAATATTCTATGTATTAATTACTAATATTTAATTTAAAAATATTCATATTTTCTAGCGAAGAATTTCGGTAAGCATAGCGCTATTATATCACAATGTAATCATAATCACATTGCAATACAAGTTACGCTGACTGCAAACTAATTCTATCCCCCGAAAAGCTATGCTAGACGCAGTGGATTTCCTTGGAAGAGGTAAGAGTATGAATTTAAAACTTGTAGGTGATAATATCTATTTCTTAGAAGAGGCTAATATCTAAAAGCATACCTAGTAACGTTCGCGGTTTATGCGAATATGTAGTTGATTAGTGCGAATAAATACAGTATCTATTGCTCTGAAGTCATAAATTAGCTCCGTATCTCTAAAGGGTATGGCTTTATTTTCTTGCTTAAAGTATGCATTGCCATATTTACCCTGATAAAGAATGATTAAAATGATTTTCTTGAGTATCTTTTTAGATAATTACTAAATACTCGATAATAATTTCTAAATATCGATAATTTTAGGGACCAAAATCCAACAGAGGGGTGAGAATAAGACTAAATCAGCATGAGATAATCATGGCTATAGAACTAATAAAAGCTACTATTTATCATTAAATATTCCCACTACAAGATAATTGCAATTAACATAAAATATTTGTTATACCTTATTTAAAAAATACCGTAAAAATTTAGGCCGCCATTTCTTTGGAAAAGGTGAATGATATATGTAGAAGATATTATCGACGATTTCTATTATTTTATGAACCTAGAGTTACTGATTACACCATTTACAGTGTGTTTCACTACCCTTCCGATATAAAATATACCGATATACTTACTGTTCCTTGATTAAAAAAATTGTCCAATATTTAACACCAGCTTACTATTTTACTGCACTTCATTTATTTTCATAATAGGTCAGAAGACCGTGCTCTAGATTATAAAGAAGCAAAAATCATGGAAAACTTGAAACAGAAGTATAACAAGGCTGAACTTGATGCGTTCATCGAAGGTTTAACGATGCGAAAAACTTTAAAAACTTATCTAAAAGCTAACATGTTCAAAGCCTTTAAGAAAGCATCTTTACAGCATTAATATCCGTGAAAGCTGAAGTTCTACAGAGAATTGGCAGGTTAGGATAAATATATAAATGATCAATGTTCACTTCTAATATTATAAACTACTAACCTCCAGAATGGTATACGTATATAACTTCTTAAAACGGTGCCATAATGATTACGTTTATGTTCACTAGGTGCAGTATGTTCTAATATACGATCTGGAAAGCAGAAAGACTTAAATTTGAGACCAGTGATATTCTAGGATTAAGATATCAAATTTACTGCAATTGCAGCAATAGTGAAACTCTAGCAATAATAATTCACGTAATAAATATGCATATATTCGTGCACAATTCTCTAGTCTATAGTGTCAATTAAGTACCAATATTATAATACAGCAATATTTGAGTTTACGTGTATACCTGAAGTAAAGAATTTGCAGCACTAATGTTTAAAAAATTACGATAGTTATTGCTATAATCGTAATTGTGGTCTATTTCAATCTGAATAAATCTGCATAGAACCATTGAAAGAATGATATGCCAGGAATAGAGCTGTAAATGTTGTAACAGTAGGAAAATAAAATAAAGCTTATAGATCCGAAACTTCATATCCTTTCGCATCCTTCATAAATATTCTACCATGCTTGCTCAATTCTCAGACAATATATTTGAATGTGTACCTTACCTGAATGCAACTACGAGTGATGTGTTGTAATAATACATAAAACTGCCTCAGTTTAATAGTTACTTAACGAAAGATGTCTCCAATTCTATAGACTATTTCATGATAGCCATGATGTTGAGATCTATTCTTGCTCTTTAGTTTTCGAATTTAGAAACACGAAAATTACGTTTTACTGTATGCAATGAAATAATTAGCTTACTCTTTGCAAATTAATTTTACCTAGCCGCTTCAGATTGATCACGAAGCACTATAAAGCTAATCCGATAGCAGATGCTCAAGAATGCGTTATCGTGTCTTATACCCTATTACTTTGTATAAACCTTTACTGCTAACTCAAAACATATAGCGATATCTGCTTCACTAAATAAAAGTTATTTCTTTTTACTATTAATGATTTTTTAGAATTTAATATATTTCTATTTTATAAAAACCCTCAAATAAACAATCATGAATGGATATTATTATATTCCGTCCTCCATTTTACTTACTAATATGATACAAGTACGAAAGAATTGCAATCTTTCTACTTTGAACTACCCCATGTGTTTGAATATATCACAAATTTAAGCACGTGTCGTAGTTACTAGCATGAAGATTACTCATCAAATGCTACTGTACATTTCATATTTTAATATGAAATGTATCAGCGAAATTCTAAAAGTTACGAAACCAAGCACAGAGGGTATACCAACGTGGAAGAAATTATCGATATGCGTGTTTATTTGATAAAACTTATCTACGGATTATAATCGACTATCCATATACGTAGTTCAATGTTTATCGAGTGATCATACTTACCGAATAAACCATTATCGGGAAACTGTTCAAAATTTAAGTGTATTTCGGACCAGTAACAAGGAAGTTACTCTATTACAATTACATTGCGACCAAAGTAGACTATTTCGACAAACAAAATAACCGTTGAATTGTTCATGCTTTTTGATATCGAAAATGCCACTACTTTTCTATTATTTGGCCAATATAATAAATAAATATATACAATAGCAAAAAATTTCGCAATAAGTAATTTTCGTGTACGTTCTTAGAAACATTCCACAGTAGTAGCCTTTATTTAGAGTTCATGCTGGATTACAATTTTTATATCTTCAACAAATGATGCTGATATATACCACAAGCAATAAGTAATGAAATATTAAGAGTACTATAATCCTAGCGCTATTGATATTCATTACATAGAAGCTTCTTTTAAATAATGATCGTTGCATAGTCAATATCATAACAATAAGTAAGTATCATTATTACCTATTTCGAAATTAGTCCAGGCATACACATTAATATAATCTAGTTAGTAGCGATAATAATGGAAATCTACGCCTTGCCTGCATGCGTAAAAGCGACTCTCATATTATTACATCGGATCTTCATCAATATACCAGAGTAATGGTTACAAGTGATGTTATTTTCAAATTGTTAGAACTTAGGTGAAAACTGCGACAATAGTGATACTGCCAGGCCGTTTATTAAAATACATCTTTTGGTCCTGTGTATTTGTAGCAGTTTTTAGGTATTATAAAACTAGGTCATGTTCTAGTATCTTCCTAATGTGTTTATAGAAGGCATTGCTAAGATTATCCGTTCTAATGATTTGTTTATTGAATTTCTTATTAAAATAGTGCTGTCGTAATTTGGAAAATGCCTTTATATGTTTATCTAACGCCTGGGATAGCAATTTATATGAGTGAGCTTGGCTCATGCACTTTATCGGACTAACACTGTGATAAAGATCACAGTTAATTCATTCGGACCAGATCAAGATTAGGTTCCCGTTATAGTAATCTCCATAAGAAAATACGGATAGTTTATCAAAATAATATCATTTAGATAAGTATTGGTTCCACTTTTAATTGGATTAATGGGTTGGGCAGAATGAACATACCACATCGACGTGGTTCAATGCACTGATTTGCGGAAGGTAAACTAAATTTGAAATTAAATAATAACTTAGCCAAAGTAATCTTCATTTCGGTCATAGCAAATCTTTTGCCCATACAGGTACGTGAACCGATAGAAAAAGATAAAACCCCATGATCTCGAACGTCTTCACGTTTAAATCGTTCCGGATTAAACTCATTACCATTTGGAAATGCATCATCGCACCTATAGTTTAGTTATTAATGCACAAAAATAATAAAAAATTACCAATTTAGCAATTAAGTTCAAGATTTGTAGAAAATATTGCGTATTGCAATAAGTACGTGGTACTAGTACCTCTGGCAAACAGCTAAGGCAATATATATAAGGGTTCCAGCAGGAATTTTATAATTTTGTATGACATCATCTTTCTTAGCGACACGTCGCAGAACGTCAACTGGAGGATACAGTCTTATGTATATAGATAGGAAGTTTTAACTGCAAGTATTATTAATATGATAAGTGCTATAAGTACTATGAGAGCAAACCTAAGCGTTTCCATGATAATAAATTCAATATATTTCAGTTGGTCTAAATCAGAATTAGCTAGATCACGATCTTGTTGTAGTACATTCTGAATCTCTGTTCGTGCTTTATCCTGAATTTTAGGATGTTTCGCTAATAAATATAGCGTCCATGACAATGCAGCTGTAGCAGTCTAAATTAAAGAAAAGTGCATGTAGATCTAAGCATTTGATATTAGATGAATCAACCAATTTATTAAACATAAATGTCGATTGATTACCTCACGTCCTGCCATCATAAATGTTAAAATATTGTCACGTAGCTGCTTATCCGTAAATGCCGGTTTACCAGTCTCATCTTTAATGTCCATTAGAATATCCAACAGATCGACATCTGAAATTAATTACATAATCATTAGACAATACGGTGCAAAATGGATTATCTCGACACTTGCGTATAAAAAATAACCGAACCGGATGTTGATCTCTGTCTTGAATTTCTCTTTAATGCTATCGTAGAATCGATCGCTTTACGCACAACACTTAATCCTGCTTCAATTTCACGGTTGCATGCCAGAGGAAGATACTGAAAATATGGTATAAACTGTACCAAGCTAAAATAGAAATATATTGGTAGGCTTTTAAGTCTTTTTTACGAATAATGTTAACAAAGCAATTGCAGGCTCATTTATCTTAATTAATGATGAATATAAGGCTCATTCATACCCGAATAACTGTCCGGTAACAGCACGATTGAAAACTGCGCTAATATTCTTAGCATCTATATTACACCCAGATAAAGCCTCAAACTCATATCCAAAGGTACAACGACCCATAATATCAAGAGTCTAAAATTAAAACCGCTCAATAAGACTAAAGATCTTCTGATTCCAATTAACTGGGTTGGCACTATCGATAAGTGCTATGTATACTACTGTAGAAATACTAGTAGCTTCAATATGTTCATTTAGTACTTTTGCCATGCTATCGTTATGAATTGAATTAGTTTCCTTGAAGATTTATTTTAGTACAACAATTTCAAGGAATTATGAATATTATACAACATACCAATTGTTTAAAATATTTTTGGACACAGATAATACCATCATTGCTCTGTGAAAGATTATGTCGCCATAGTTGACATAAGGAAGTTACATACATATTGAACACAGTAGTCATGACTATAAATGAAAAGGAAATGAAGTCAATTTATAATACGTCTATAGCAAATTAATGGACAATTTATCAATATTGTATCAACTTAGTAAAAGTAAAATAACAATACCAGTGATGCTATCTGCATTGAAAGCAGCCGGTGCAATCATTCCTCTATATTTTGCATGATCCCTTCCAGTAGAAGCCATCACACCATCTCCAATAAGGCGTTGATTGACCCTAGTAAAGACACAAATGCACAAATAATCCTATATATTAGACGATATAAGTATGGGCCCTCTATCTAACAGCATTTAAGGGCTAATTTTTTTATTCTTTTTTTTATGCTTTCAGAATTTAAGATTTAGTAATTATCGAAGTTAATAGAAACATAAAGATATGTTTTCTTGGTATATACTGTATTGATTTTTCACTTACTGAAAGGCTTTCTGTTTTTCATAGTTCTTGTGATTAACGATTAAAACATGATTTATAGCCTTGGGGCAACTGATCATGACAATATCTTCGTTGAATACGTTATGAAAGTGTACAAATTTGCCGTATTTCTCAGTCCATCTAAAAAGTCATATTAAATCGATCATTTCTGAATAATGTAGAGTAGGGGTACTATTTTAATGTCGTATTAGTTTATTTAAAATCCTATTTGTTACTAAAAGCAAGCATTGTAAAAACAATCATTACAGAATCCTGTATCGCTATAGCTACTCTTACTTGATTTCGATTTCCATTGGCCTTGATGAGTATAAATCATAAAGATTGCCAATGACGGGACGAAAAGCTGGCCCAGGCATCTAGATAATTACGATAATATGCATACCTAATAATGCTTACGATAATTTTTACTCTTTTGCACGGCAGAATTATGGGCTAAGAAGTAACGTCACAACTGCTATAAAAGTTGTTCATTTATTACATCAATTTCGATGATGCAATGTCAGTTTGCTTTGTTAGCATCCTCAAGTAATAATAACAAGCATCTAAGTATACAATTATAAATTTGTGAATAAGAGAAAAATTAAAATAAACAGAAGTATCGGATTCACTATTGATAGCGCAAAACCATTGGACGTTTGATAAACTTCTTAATTGCAATACTGTATTCACTTTTAGGATTGCTCGCATCTACGCGTAACTTACATCCTACAGAAGAAAGGGCATCATCTCTGATCAATTGCTATAGCAATCCACTAGTATACAGTATGATAGCGCTTCGCTAGACCATGGACTATCCATCTACAGTACGGGTCTGGAAAACGATTGACGATGACGTTGTAGCCCACTTTGTTATCCACTACTCGTTGAAAATTGTATATTCCTTATGGTATAATGGCATTTTTTCTGTGTGATATGATGACAAGTTAGGCTTACTTTTACAGTCCATAAGTAGTAATACGATATTGATGTCGATTAGGATACCTGTATGATCATGGTTTATGATATGATGATACTATACTGGTGTAGTAACCTGTTGCAGGAATAACGCTACGTTAGCAACAACATGGACGCCATCGTCATCCTATCAGCTAGAGTAGTTTTTGTATCACACTCTCTCTCTCATGGACTGATTTACTATTCGTTATGGAGGATTGATCATGCCATAGTTTGATCGATTGGGTACAAATCAGTAGATTGATAATATCGATCCTACCTGTTTTAATGGCGAAAAGTACGGCTTAATGAAACATTTATATGCAACATAGACCGCATAAGTTGCCAATGATACCTTGAATCCAACCTTGATGACATACGTAAACGACGATGAGTTGTCATTTAGCGTCATTTCGCAGAAACGATCATAACAAGATGTGTAATAGAACAACTTAATTTTATAGCTAGTGCGTTGCGATCGATGATGAAGTTGAAGGCACTAATCTTGTAATTTAGCTATTGCTTGGCGTATTTGCCACTCAACGCCTTACAGTACAGGACTTGAGAATTCTATTGATTATTTATTTTATTTTTAGAAGTCTGATGCCGTAAATAAACTGTTTCTCGATGTCTGCACAGCAGTCTACAGTAGTACTGTACAGTACAGTCTGTACTGTACAGTACTGTACTGTACTGAACGTTACCGTCCTAAGCCTGTTACAGTACTGTACCTGTACAGTGTATAGTACTGTAGTGGGAGGCCGAGTATCATCCATTGTACTGAAGTACTGTACTGTACTGTACAGTACAGTACGACGAAGTGATAGTGAGTTTATTGATACTTGATACTCGGATAGGGTATCGGTATTGGGCCAATAGATATACCGTCGTCTTTCAGACCATCCGCCTCAATATCAGGCCAAAACACAAACTACTGTATCAGGCCAAGAATGGATACAACCCTTCCAAAAACACAGTTGTCGCTTGACAAGAGTACTATGACAGTCGGTTCCATCCAGCAGAGTACTGCAATAGCGAAAATCCTGCATAATTAATTCATGAATCCTAGTTCTGCCAGTAGCGTATCAAGAGCGCTTCGATGTCGTCATCATGGACTTCGACCCCAGTACAGTACGGTACAGTATTTGTACTGTAAATTACAATCAAGTACTGTACTGTACACTGTACTGTACAGTACTGTACAGTACAGTACCATACCGTACGATACACAGTACTGTACAGTATGCACTGAGCACCGACGTACTGTACAGTACAGTACAGTACTGTACTGTTCTGTTGTGAAAGTGAAGAATTTGCCTGAGACACCGACTACTGTACAGTGTACAGTACCATACCGTACGATACACAGTACTTGTACAGTGTACAGTACAGTATGCACTGAGCACCGACGTGTACTGTACAGTACAGTACAGTACTGTTCTGTTGTGACAGTGAAGAATCTGCCTGAGCCACCGACTATGTACTGTACACTGTACTGTACACTGTACAGTACAGTAGGATTATTATGAGACTAGAGTCACTAGACACAACACAGCTGATTTCAGATTTGAGATTTCAGACGCCAGCCGGTACAGTACAGTCCAGCACTGTACAGTGCACAGTGTACAGTACTTTACTGTCCTGGAATGTACTGTACACTGTATAGCAGGATTATTATCAGGCAGACACAACACAGCTGATAGGAGATTTCAGACGCCAGTCGCTTTTCCTGGCTGATTTCTGTTAGAATCATCCCTTGTTGTACTGTATATATGTCACTATATATATATATAGTGCAGTATATATAGATGCTATACAATCAGAGGATATTATTATTATCCGAGTAACAGGCGTATATCCACCTTATCCAGTTGATTAACATCATTTTCCGTGCTATCATGGTATTCCATCACATCGATATCAAGGCATGTGTCTTAGCCATATTGATCGCAGCCATCAGTTGGATTATTCATATTGTTGTTATCAAGAGACTGACATCACCGTTGCGCAAGGTTAGTATACCGCAGTCAGCGGACTACGAAATGCAAATGATAATAATAGCTATCCAACGTGATGGCACGATAGGCGATTTCGCAATGGATCCGAACTAACACTAACTTTGGCAAATAACCATTCATTTGATAATTGAACAATAAACCAAATCAGTTTGTAGTCATTCGCTTCCATACACGTAAAATCCACTCGCATATCGATCATCTTACAGTATATACTTTATGTCCTACATGGAGTATAGTTACATGTTATAATATTGAGACTGCTAACAAGTAAACTATTTACGCGTGAGAAATCTATTGTATTCTTCTACACTACTCTTACATACTATAGTATGCGAGCATAGGTAGTTCATGAATTAGTAATATACAATTAAATAGAGATATAGAGTATAAAATGCCATTCATAGATAAACGATAATAATTGCAATTGGTACATTAAATACTTTATTACCGATGCTCTTCCAAATGAACAGTTACATGTCTACGATGTTTTAGGACTGTGTTATGGATGTTGGCGTAACTTGCACTTAATGAACGCGTTACTTCTTGACCGTCTAATAATTTAGATTCCTGGCCCACGAACTTGGTCGTTGTTAGGCAATACGCTGCAATTAATGCAAGAAAGCGCTGGCGATTCTCATCTTAGGTTGGATAAAAAGAATCATTGTCTAATAGCATCAAACACTACGATTAATGTTGAATGAAATAACAAATTTGCTGTATTAGTCAAATCTCATATGCTTAACATAATATAAATACTAGTCATTCATTGCTCTAGTGATCATATATTCTGTAAATGCAAATATAAAAATATACCATACAAGTCTAAAAGAGATGATAATGCCGTTGTTGATAATACTGCTATACCAGTTAACAGTCATAGCAGCTATTAGTAGTAATCGTTTCCCTGTCGTTATTTGACTTAGATGGTCACTACAGTATGGAAAAATCTTTCGATTTGAACTACCGTTTACTAGCGAACGGGTAGCAATATTGGATGCTGATCTCATAAAGCAAGTACTGGTCACAAGATGCTCGAAATATCGAAAACCCGAACGTTTCTCTATGTTCGTAAAATACAAATTAATCATTAATCTCAGATGATGATACTACCTACTATACCTGTATACTTTGAATTTTAGATAACTTCGTAGCTGGTTATATGATAATTAAATTACTGTATCGTACACGATTCGCTGTTGAAATTGATCACTATAGCAAGAGACGACAGAATTCAATGATATAAGATACAAATACTATCTCCGAATTTTATTGCATCTTTGTCGTATAATTCATGCAGGTTTTTGGGGCCAATTATCGGGAATGGATTGTTTCTGTTAGAAGGGCCAACACATGCTCACTATAGAAAAATAATCAATCCTGCATTTAAATATTCAAAGATTAAAGGTGACGTACAAGTCGGTGTTGCAATTAAAATTATTGACTTTGTGTACACAAAACCTTTATACGCTAGCAATCACTTCTGGTTCAGTGGTAGATTAACTATGTTTTTGATAACCGTCGGATACCATAACATAACCTCTTTCAGCTTTATATTAGCCATTCCGATTATATTTTAATTACAGCGAGAACTTATCAGTTCTATAGCTAGTAAGATTTCTTTATCGACCCTACAATTAAATTCAATCAATCTATCTTATTATGCACAGAGATGATGCCTATGTTTCAACACTTTACGGATATATTAGCTGAAAAATGGCGCAAGGAAATTGATTCAAAAGACCAGGGAAAGGCCGTTATCTGTGTACAAGACAATTTGACTAAACTCACTCTAGATATCATATGCAAAAGCTCTTTTGGTTACGACTGCAATGCATTAACTGACGAGAGCGTCAAAATATCTCAATGTTTCAACACAGTACTGCAAAATCTTGCGGTCAAGTATGTAAACTTTCAAATTTACGCTTGCATTCACTTTGAACATTTCTCCTAATTTACACTTGAATGCTTACACAAGTTAGCGTAACAGTGTTCCGCGTTTACACACGTTTTTATCAGCACTAGATACTGTATTCCAATCTATTAACATTTCATATTAATTTTTAATTTTTATTGCCACAGTTGGAGAAATTTTATTCCAATGTATAAATCATTGCCTACCCCTGATAACCTGAAAATCCGAAGATCTCTTAATTTGGCTCATCAACTTGTTGATAAAGTCATCGAAGAAAAACTGCAAGAAACAGATTCAAGTAATACTACTATTCTTCTATTGTAGCCTTGCTTGAGGTTACAAAATTTATAGTAGCATGGAATTAATATATAAAGGATATATTGAATTAAATATCTATAGTATTAACGGCACCTTGTAGAAAATTTTATAGCTTATTAATATAATTCCAGTTAAAGAAAGCAGCTGCCTTTTGGATAGTATGATATCACTAAAACAAGAGGATAATACTCCAGCTCTAACAAAACAAGAACTGCATGATCAAGTAATGACATTCATGTTAGCTGGACACGAGGTGACGCCATTAAGAACTGATTTTGGTTGTAATGATCACAGTTTATATTCTTTAATATTTTATCATCGATATAATGAATAAGCTATCGATTGATTCCTTTGCGATGTAATGTTATACTTCAATATTACTTATTGCATACTCAAATAGTCGCATTATATCAGAGCAGGTGTAAACTGATATTGATATATATGTGCTTGTTGTAGACTACAAGCGTAGCACTAACATGGGCATTGTATGCCTTGGCTAATAACCCGAAAATTCAAATTAAAGCAAGGCGAGAAATTAAGGATGTACTCAACAACTGCGATGAAATTTCATGTGAAAAACTTGATGAATTGCTATATCTGGGCAACGTCATTAAGGAATCTCTAAGGTAATTATATATTAACAGAAAAATTATCTCAAGCAATATACATGTGTCGTGGCCAATCCGCTAAAGTTGGCCTAGGATCTGCTTAATGTGCTTTATTGCTTAGTGTAATAATATGGTACATTCTCTTGGTAACGTTCTATAGATTATACACTCCAGCGTCTGTAACGTCCAGACAAGCTCTAAGTGATGATTATTTAGGAGTGTATTATATTCCTAAGGGTACACATGTAGTCATCAGATTCCCACACAGGCTAGTAGCTTATTTATAAATTATTAATAATCAAATCAAATGTTGGTTAGCTATAAACTATATATGGACTAAGCCTAATTTAATTAATTTTCCACTTATTAACTTATATCTATAAATATTTAAAATGAATAGACATCCTGATTATTTTGAGGATCCAGAAATGTTTAACCCCGATAGATGGGATACCACGGCCAAAAATGTTAATCCTTATGCTTATCTGCCATTTTTGATTGGATCTAGAACATGTATAGGCTACAAGTTCGCCTTGATGGAAATGAAATTAATACTAGCAAATTTGCTAGCTAAATTTTCCTTTAATATTGTACCGAATTTCGAATTTAAAAGAAGGCAATTTATCACAATGAAACCTGTACCAGATTTGAATCTAATGGTTTCACGAGTGGTTGATAGCTGATTGTTTTTAATCTTAATTACCCTAACTGGAAATTGCTATAACATGTGAAATGTTGTTGTACTCTAGGATAACTGAAATAAAATTTCTTTTGTAAGTCAAACTATTGCAGTAAAACTGTAAATATCTTCATATTAGGTAATTTTAAATCATAGATAAATCTAAATCCAATGTACTTTGTATTAATCCTACGAAACTTAGAAAAAATACTGTTTATCTTTTGTAGTTGAAACTATAATAATGTTGTAGAATTTAAAGCTCATTGCAATAAATTGTTATTTTATCTACAACAGAAGAGAGCTAATGTGTGTAACCCTCTTGATCTCTCAATGTTACCATGCAGCAAACTACAGTATATCGTGTTATAAAGTAAAACTGAAAACCACAGATTATATTCATTCTTTCGAATCAAATAGTAGAATAATTCTAAATGTTTCAAATATCTTTTAATGAACTGTATCAAGTTTAACCTTTAGTAAATGAATTTATGCATGTTAATACCTTTTAGTAATAGCCTAGCTCCATCTTCGGGTATTTCGTTTCTGGTCGAAGAAAATGAACGAAAAATAGTAGATTCGTTCATTCAAGTGGGATGCATAAAAATTTTATATGTACTTAATTATTTTTTAGTGTAATGGAAATTTTTCAGGGCGTTGGTAACACATTTACCGATAAAAGGGCATGAATTCTTGCAATTAAGTTACACTATATCGTATAGGTATTTTGATTAAGCAACGAGTATCTCGTATAGAGACATTGAATTAATTTGTTAAGCTTTTAGTTTAATATATCAAAGCCGGCCTATCTTAGTTTGGAATTTCACTTAAAATCCTTTGAATAACCTGCATATCAGTTTATTAAGGATCTCCGTAGTAGTTCTTTCGATATTTAAAAATCAAACAATTAATGCAAAAAACATTATGATATATTTCTTATTGTGATTCTCAAATTAGTTGTATGCCCATCGGATTAAAGTAAGCATACTGCTGCTGGATTTCTCGTATAAATTAGTTTCTCTCCAAGATAAGCTAAATTCATTAAGTTACTATATAATATGATATTGTCTTTTGCTTATATTCCTGGATTAAAGAATGCTTTTCAGCAAAACGAAATAAAGCTACACAAACTTTATGCCACAATTATTCATGCAATAAATTTTCTGTTTTAAGAGGAATAAGTAATGCAATTATTTTATAAAATCAATATATTAAAGTATTGAGTCATAGCACCTATGTATAGATACAGTAGAACGACTTAAATTGCATCGTTTAATGGACTAGTGAGTATTCTTCATATCTGTAACTAACATCTCAAAATGGCCAAATGGCGGTGCGAAGACATCCCTTCAATATTCCTCCTACAAGTTTTGTTTAAATTCCTATGATTTAAACAGTAAAACAATCAACTACTATAGTATAACATCGCTGCTATGCTGACTTTTAAAGACTTTCTATTGTAATAGTATCTTTATAGATGATAGCAACAGGTTGCGTTTGTAATATTCTATTATAAAATAAAATTACTCTTTAAGACATTCTATTAAAATGGAATGTCTTAAAGAGTAATCCTAGGGGTTATTAGCAAATATGTCACTCCTAAATAATTTTTTACCGCTTAACTCAAATAACCCAATTCTGTTTATAGACATTAAGCTAGAGAGCAATGCAATCAATTGGTCGAACACTAGACACCTCTAATATTTGTTATATTCATGAGCTACCGATACAATTTCATTTACCGAGTTATTGTGAAGATCGGTCGTGCTTAAACTGTAAAATGGTATGATCTATCTGCAATGAACTACTTCAGTAGGAGATACACGATATTAGTCACCGTAAGTTTACGAAGCCGATAAAATGATAGATATGACTAATATTAGTAAAAATAGATCTCAGGACTTCATCTGAAATGGGCGGTGGCATTAGAATTGCAACATACTGTGCCAATACAAAAATATCTCCATGAACGCTATTGTTCACGCTACTAATTGTTGTTGTTATAAATAAAAAGGAACTAAGGCGGCCGCATCATTGTTTTTATTTATGAAAATGGAAAAGTTTCACCGAATTATAACAAAGTGAAAATATCAATCTAAGGATTCGAAGTGGCTAATTCCATAATCATAGTGAAAATCTGATAAGCTGTAAATATAATTAAATGATATCTACTACTTAATCTCTTAATTATAGTTTACAGTTAAACCTTTCTCAATAGAAAGCACGACTTATAATCCTGTGGAGAAGTTGGAATCTAGAAAAGAAAAAATTTACTGACCGGTTGTCGTCAGTGTCAAAACATAATAGATCGATGAAAAAATTATTTTCAAATATATAAATTTATGGTTAAAACGTCATGGCGTACGTCTGCCCGGCGATAATAATATACTTTTAATAGCATTTTGTGGGGTGATATGTGAGTAGTTAGTGCAATTTATTATAGTACCTTGTAAAGGTTAGATTGCTGTGGATAGTAAATTCATTGTTCATATTCGATGGGAGGAAAAAATATAATTTAAGGCGAACTTTACCTTTTATTACGCTTTTATACTAGAAATCCACAGTAACTAACCTTAATTCAGTCAGGATATGATTAGAATCATAACTGCAAAGCCGGTATGTTTGGTATAGTATTTCTTCCTCATCACGACCGAGCCAGTAAGAAGTACTACGTGATACTCACCTTACTGCACGAGACATGGGTCTTGTGACGGAATTTCTGCATTATTCATTTTCGATTTACTTGTACTGGTACTGTTCAAGGTAAAATGCCACAATTCATTTTTCACCTGAAAATATTAGGCTATTTCCAGACTATCAGTTCTTTATATCCATTATCCGTGGCGCTGTCCAATAAAAAATTTCTTTTAAGTTTTATAGGAGATACCTTACAGAATGTACAAGATGCATAGGACAAATAATGTAGTAGTTTATAGCTATTCACCGCGTTGATGATGAATTCTTTGATGATTAATGCTTGAAAAATTATATATCTACGAAAGTAGGCATGGTCCAAGGTGACTTTGAAGTAAAGAAATTTAGATGGAATGCTTTAAAGAAACAAGACTACTACGAAACTTTTATTAAAAACTTACTAACGCTAAAAATTTTTCATCAGGTAAGTAAAAGCCTATAACGGAGCGTTTTTGGCCATCAGGCATAAAAGGCACAGAAAGAATTTGTAAATTAAATTTTAATTCACTATTAATTTGTCATCTAATTAAAGGTCTAGTGAATTATAAGTAGATTTTGTTTTTCCTTTATTGCTGTTTTATTATAGCAAGCAGAGACGCGAGTAACTGTAACAAAAGAAGCAAGTTAACCTCAACCAAATGTACTATTTAGCAATATAAGTGTTTCAATTCATCACGACACTTTTTTGCTGTGAGCAATTTAAGTTTTACTGAAAATGCCATTAAAAATTTCTTTCCATGTAAGTTTCAGTGCCTTAAAATTTCCCTAATACTTCTGATTTCACTTGAAAAATTCGTTATCACCATAACTAGTTCAGAACAAAAAATTATGTATTTAATGCCTCGAATTCATGTGAATTTAATCTAAGTAAATGTTCCGGTAAAATTATCGCTTATTCGATTGTACTATTTACAACACTGCCTTTGTTTACCTTTTTAAAGTAAAAGTAATTAAAATTACCGGTAAATTAATTATATTGTGGCGCCACTGCAACTATAAATTTGGATACTCTTTCACAGTAAATAGTAATAATTGTTTAGAAAACACAGACATATAACTTCCTCGGATTATAAGCTTTACGAGATTTATTAACAATGGCGCATCTATAATATCAATAGCTCTGTATGGTACAAATTAAAAAAATTATCTGAGAACGAAATTAATATCGTCTTAAACTGACAATGATTTCGAAGGAATTAATAATAAAATATAAGGTAACGCAATACTGAATGTATATTATACGTTGTATATCTATATATTTTGTGTGATATTTCTGTACGGCCAAGCGACATGATTGTTTGGCAATTATCATCTTTTATGCTCCCTACCGTGAAACTTATCCGATTCAATCCTGTATTGTTCTTCATTGTCCATCATAGGCTATAAAACTAACATTAAATCGTCATATTCATTAATTTGGGCTCAGCTGTGAAAGTTTAATAGTTGCTATTTCATCAAGTTCGTTTTGACCTGATTAACAGAACCACTACGTCAATTTATCAACATGAAGTACCAAGCTGTTTTCCTATTTGCCATGCTATTCGCATTTGTTAGCTGTGATTTTACACAAGATGCTGACGAAAATTTGGACTTTGATAACGATATTCGTGAGAGATTCGATCAAATGAACGACAACGATGATGATTTTGACAACAGTCAAAAGTCCGTGGAAGCTTCGCTAGAGTAAGCATGTACTTTGCAATTTTATAGTTTTGTAAGATCATTATTTTACATTAGTTGTATATATGTTTAATTAGCAGTATCAATATTGATTTTTTGTTCCGTTTGAAAATCTTAGGGATGATTTCGAAAATGGCAATGATGAAGATGATAAGCACAATGTAATCAGAGTGAAATCGGTACGAGTATTAGTTCTTGTTTAGCTGATTATCACTAAAATGTCTGCGGGGTAGTTAACAATTTAGAATAAGCCTAGATCTAACTTTCTATTTCTTAAATGAAATATTTTATTTTTTACTTTTAATTCTGATAATTTCGATTTCGGAAGGAGTGATTTACGGAAATTAACTCAGGTCTCAATGTATTTGTGAGATTTGATATATTAAAGTCAAATATAGATTAAAACTAATCTTGAAAGAAAAGTTTGTTCAGCTATTTTAATTTATTACATTATCAAATATTCTTGGCTAACAGCAGACCATAATCATGTCTTGATCATGTAACTATTACAATAGACCATTTCTTAATTTATTGTTGGCAGTAAAGTACATTAAGATAGTAATTTCATTACATCAAACTAATATTCGTATAATTTTCAATTTTTCTTTACTAAATTAGATTATTATAGCATGGTACCGTCAATTTAAAATTGTTATCGGCTGTAGTATAGAAATAATTATAATAATTCTGGTATATAGTTACTGTTTACACAAACAAAAGAAAAAATCACAGCCATATTTTCATGAATTGAAGATACTGTAGCTTATGCCATTTTAAATTACTAAAACATCGTAGTTATCGCACTTAAGTTAAAATAATACTCATTCGATAAGTTTGGTTATATTGGCATCTAATAAGATCATTGTTTCATTGTTTTTGTAATAACTTTATTAGCATTATCGTCGCCGGTTTTTTGATGGTAAAAAATCAAATGCGGTAAGTTAGATTGGATTACTTTATAATGTATTATCGGTATATTTAAATGCAATACGAACTCCTGATTAATTATTTAACACGATTTTTAATTTATTTCTTAATGCAATCATTCTTTATAGTAGAGTTGTCATCGATTTTTCGGTAAATAAAAATCGAAAGCAGTAAATACTTGCTCTATGTATAAATTACTGCAATACGTTACTATTAATGATTGTTTAGTTTGTTTATACGCATATATTAAGATCATATTGCTTCCGTGCCGTTTAATGAGGTACTTTATGAATGAATAACTATAATCATTGATTTAGTTATTCCACCCTCATCACGCCTCTGGGAGCCAAAAAGCGAGACCGTTAAAAATGTCACCTATTCCTATAACATAATCAAGAATAGAATAAAATAAAAGTTTAAATAAAATTTGATTACTTTCGATTTACTACTTAAAGCGATTTCATTCCATTACATTTCTGCAATTTTGTTACGGATGTACTTATACTTATAGATAACCCAAAAATTTTAAGAAAACCTATTATATTCTCGAGCTATATTGTTATTATACAGCACTATAAGTAGCCATAGACATATTCAAACTGAATATAACACGTTAAGCTTTTGCTTCGATTGATTATTAAACGTAGCATTTTGTTTCGTTTTTTCATATTGAATATCTCTTTAGTGGGTTTTCCGTCGTCGTTTTTACCGTCGTCGTATTTTCGGCAGCCAAAAGCAGCACTGAAACGTAAGTTACATAAATTTAAAGCTTCAAGATAATTTAATATCACATGTATTAATGGAACTTTAATGTACTTAGTAGTAATTTGTCAGAGTAGAAATCAGTTTGATAAGATCTGGGGTCTATACATAAGGTACAGTAGATATAATGTGTGAGGTTTATCAAGGAATTTTACTTGCATCCAAGATCATCTAGTTTCTCATAACCATTATGAGTTGTAGCTAATGTTCAGAGTTAATACAATACAACATAAAATGTCCATAAATATACTTGTATCATCTAGAAACTATTACTTGATCTGTTTAGTATATTAAACAACCTTTCCGTAAATTGTTCCAAATCCTAATAAATTAAATCTAATCTATATTGTATCGGCCGCAACGTACTAAATACAATCATGATTAATAAGTGCTAATGCTTAGTCTAATGCTAATTTCGGACTCCGATCTCTGCCCTGCATAAATTCTTAGAGTAGCTAAATATTTTAATGTTAACGTTGCCTGATTAATTATTTTTGCATTTAGAGGCCAAATCCCAGTCATCAGGTGCTTGAATATGGAACAAGGAAATTCATTATCGAATCTTTACGATCAAAAATGTTTCCCCAAATCATATATACAGTGTCATAGTAGTTGATTATTGTTATACTTTGTTATTATAGGACATGAAATAATGGACTTACGAGCATTTTGTCCTACTTAGTTGACTATTGATGAGTAGTATAGCTGTTGTGCTCATATATTAAATTCTGCTTTGAAGTTTTAGTCCAACATTTTAATCCATTATAAATTGAATGTATCAATGATCTACCCATTCTCTTTAGTTTCGATTCCATGTTTTGGATAAAAATTACTGCTTGGATGTTTTGTAAAATGCTGTACTGCTATATGTCTTAATAAATATCAACCCGCTATTTTTTTTATCTCAATTTTGGTACTCTTCCTTGATCTTCATTACTGTGAGACTGTTTGAAAATATACCAGTACCAGTCTACTGTCATACAAAAGCATTGCAAACCAGTGGAACTAGGAATTACTGATTGAATTAAACGTTTAACTGCAGTACTATACTATGCTGTGCAGCACTGTGCAATCAAATTATACGCCACTTGTGTTGACAGCTCGGAAATACAGTCGTGTTGTTGCCTTATTGGCTAATCTTCCCTTAATATATTATAGCTAACCTTAGCGTCATCCTTAATACGTACATTAGTACCTATTGCATGTTTTAAGACCTTATATAAAATGGTACCAATAATTATTTCTTTATAATTACTGTATTCCTTAATTTTAACTGTACTTAGTGTGATGGAGGGTTCGATATCTCGAGGATTGAGATTTAGTCGCCATTTACAATTATTACACCAAAGGGTTTATAAAAGTTATGCTTTATTGTAGGTTAGTAATGTGAAGTACAGTGAGGTAGTTACGGTAGATCAGCGTGCAAGCTGTCGTGAGTAACGAGTAGAAGTATTAGACTGTGAGAGACTAACTAGAAGACTAACTGAGAGGCTAATGAACTCTGAGGTAGAAATCGCCGGTATTTATAGTTTTAAAGATAGAGCACATGCAGAGAATAGGATTGTGGAATTAGATACAACATATACCATAACAGGTTACAAAATAGCAGATGATTGTAGAAAACAGCGAGTACCGTAATAACTAAATACAGTAGTCTATATATGAATGTAGAGTAAGCGGACTGTAGATCTGTCTAAATATAAGAGCAATACAACATGTCTATATTTAAGAGTAGAATACAGTTACAGTATGTTCTAAATACACTACACTTAGTAGTACTATAATAGTTCTTTGACTGATATTTTACGGTATATATTAGTGAATTGAAGACCGTAAAAGCTGCGATAGTGACCCTGGCAAATGCCCTTACTACAGCCTTGAAAATAATGTCGGAGTGGAACATTACAGGGACGTAATGTCATTTGTACAGTATGATATAGTATTACTGACCGTCAAATTATTGTCATAGTAGCCAAGGCATGGCCCACTAGAAAGAAATCTTCCTTCTAGTAGTCCAAGGTCAAGCAAAATATTGCTATCACCTTATACAATATTCTCAGAGGCAATAAAAAAATCTGGAGTAGTATCTACAAATAAAATTGATGTTGGCTGAGTGATTCAACCGCTGTATATCTAATTTATCTACTGACTCACTTGAGCCAGTAAATAAGTTCGATCTAAGTGTAACATATATATTATATAATATGAGGATAAACAACGTGATAACGTACTTCTATAGAGTTTTAATCGAAGTCTTGTAAAATAGCAGTTGTATCACTCAGCCAAGTTACTTACCATTAGTATCCGTAATATCAAACTCATAATCATAACTAACTATATCCTGTAAATCAGTGATCATTTGTAAAGTTAAAGGTCAAGTGACGTATAACACGAGAAGTATAACGAGCGGGGAATCGATTAGATCAATTGATTAGTGTATAACTATTGTTACAAATAATGTAAAGTAAAAAAGTACAAGTACTGTATATCTAGACTGTGTGCTGTGTGTAAAGTATAACAAGTGTGGATCTACGATTAAAATATAACAAGACTTTTAAGTCGAAGTATGTTAAACGTGGATCATTAGTTAGTGTATAACGATTGTTACATATAATGTAAAGTAAAAAATACAAGTACTGTATATCTAGACTGTATGCTGTGTGTAAAGAATAATAAGTGTGGATCTACGATTAAATATAACAAGACTTTCAAGTCGAAGTATATTAAACATTTGGATCATTAGTTAGTGTATAACGACTATTGCATATAATGTAAAGTAAAAAATACAAGTACCGCATATCTAGACTTTATACAGAGTGTAAAGTATAATAAGTGTGGATCTATGATTAAATATAACAAGATTTAAGTCGAAGTATATTAAACGTGGATCTACGATTAAATGTAACAAGATTTAAGTCGAAGTATAATAAACGATCTACGAGTAGATATAACAAGATTTAAGTAACGATAACAAGAGTTCAATAGCAAACATACCAAATAATTATAAGCTACTTTGTATTATGATGCACTCAAGAACTCTACAAACTGACTACTGCAGCACTGATGATGATGTCATAATTGCATTACAGTACTGCATCGAATGTTGACATGCTAACGCTACACTCAGAGTCTACAGTACAGTGCTGTAATATGTCTCATACACACAAGCGCACAGACAGTAAAACCATATGATCGCTTGTAGAGGCCGTTAATGCTGCATAAATTTATTAAAGTAAAAGTGATTACTCATTACTAGATAGGCAGTTTTGGTTAAATTGACTAAATTGCGTTACAGCGACTTTTTCTAAAACTCGTTATTCATTTCATTTAGTGTAGACATCGCTGGCATCAAATTAAAATGATTTTTGATATTTCAAACTTATCATGGCCAAGCATTGTTATCACTGGGGTAATTACTTGGTTTATTTATCTCCAATTTATTCGCAGATTCCTAACACCGTTACGTAAGGTAAGCTAAGCATGTAAAATAATAAAGCTACAGTTATTTAGATTACATTTTTATCCATGATTGGTGTAAATTATCACTATTACTTAGCTACACTGTACTAAAGATCTACTGTCTATGCATCATGTGATTTAAATCGTTGTAGACACGGTATATGTGCAATTGGGTATGTTATATCTGGCCGATCAGTAAAATATATTTTAATAGAATGTACTATACAAAATAGCCTAAAGTAGCGATGATATTCATGCCTGATATCAACTATTTTCATTATCATTAAGAAATCACTCCGTTATGTTCAAGATATAAACTCCAAATGCATTATTCTATCGTAGCTGCCTGGACCTGAAACTTGGTCTTTAACTGGAAATCTAGGTGAAATTATACGGGAACCACCAGTCGATCCTTACATAAAGTTAGAATAATAATAATGTTAATCCTTTGCTAATTGATTTAGAATGGAATCATCATTCTATTATACTTATACTTTTAATCTGAAATCATACTTTGCATGCCCATAATATTGCAGAGACAAACTTTGGGTTCATAGATACTTCCTGATAATAGCAAACGCATCCGTTTTGTTACTTACGTCTGATATAATCAAGTCAAAATTCGACAGTAATGATAAATAATGACGTATATAATAATTTAAAACTGTTGATAAATTTCAGATGGGCTAACAAGTATGGTGGAATCTTACGATATAGCAGATTATTTGGCAAATATCGAGTCGCCGCAATAGATCCTGATGCCATCAAACATATCCTTGTTACGCACAGCTCGAGATATAGTAAACCTAAGGGATTTATAACGTAAGATGCATGACGATTTGTAACTTACAAACATTGTAGTTACCAAGAAAGCGACTTGTATATAGAGCATGGATTTATATTGTACAGTACGACATACACTCCTGGATACACAAAGTTAAAAAAGTCATTCTGAGACAAGTCGATATCATGTGATCCCACTCTGTTGTAATTTCCTAAAAATTGAATCTATTACTACCTAATATTACAGAATTTCAGTGTGTCGTTCGCTGTTTCATATCTTACCCTTTCACAGTACATAGTGCGGAGCACAATGTGCTGTGAAAGACTGACTTAAAAGCGGATTACGGTAGATACGCAATAGTTGATTTAAGATACGAGATTCGCTATAGGAAATTGTATATCCTGTTTGCGATTAAGTGTCTTCAAAATGATAAAACAAGAACTGCAGTTTCTTGTAAGTTTGACTTTATTACGTAAGTTGGATCGTCTTACAACTATTATAATCTAAATCTTTAGCTAATTTGGGGCTGCTCTATACTGTTATTTACTGTTAATACACATTACGTCTTATGATCTGTCATTTAGCACTTTAAGGCCACTACTAGGCAATGGATTATTTACAGCTGGTGATAAGGATCATTCTCAACAGAGAAAATTAATTAATCCGGCCTTTAAATATGCTAAATTAAAGGGTAAAATTGAATTTATAATTTGTACAGCTTTGTAACTAAATATATTGTTCCTCTAGCATTCATTCACAAATCATAACCAATTTGCGAATCATAAATAAATACAATGTATACTGTATCAAATCAATCAACAGCATGCACTGCATATTGTATGTAAAGTAAGTAGAATGCTATTTTAACATTGCTACGATTAAATACGTGTAAGTACTATAATTTAGATTTAAGTAATATTCAGGATACAGCTCAGATGCAATCAACAGTTGGTATCATATTTCCTGTCAATGGATATAGCAAGTTAATTATATCTTGATATTGGTGTATATATACAGGTATGGTCTCAGTATTTGAAAGTTACACCAAAGAGTTTATACAATTTTGGCAGTATAAGCTAGAAGAAACTAAAAATAGTCAAACATATACTGAAGTTCAGGCACAGGATGATCTTACTCGTTTAACCTTAGACATTATTTGTCGGTGCGCTTTTGGATACGAATGCAATGCAGTATTGAATCCAGACGATGAAATAACTAAATCTTTACAATCAATGTTTTCTGGTAGTGATCTTTCGTGAGTCTTGATCATAAGATTGAATGCTCATGATGTGACGATTAGTGTGTGATTCAATTATGATGCTTGTTATTGCTGCACTACAGATGGAAGGATTTACTTCCGCTTTACTCCTACTTACCGACGAAGGCAAAAAAGCGACGCCAGCAAGCTCTGACCACTATTAAAAATAAAGTGAACGAAGTTATAGATATAAAAATGTCACAGAATACAAACGCAGACTGTACGTTTCTCTAATGATTAGCTTACTTTATAAATGCATTTTCAGGCATGTATTAATACAATCTCGAATTTTTTTAACGCTATCGTTTCAACATATAGCTGACAGTTCCTTGTTGGATATTCTTCTATCATTAAGAGATCAGAAAACTGGTCAAGGTCTGACAAAGGAAGGATTATACGATCAGGTCGTTACCTTCATGTTCGCTGGTCACGAGGTAAATTTTATGTAGCTCTTTCCTAGTCACCTTGATACATGGCGATGCGGGCAATACTATCCGCTTATTAAACGTCTCGCTATTTGAATAATAAATTAAAAGTCACTTATTGAATAGTTACTTGTTACGATGTATATACTGTGAATTTAGATTTAAAAACGGTATAATCAATCCCTAGGGACATTGGATATCTAACAGTATTAATACCTAGTCTTAAATATCTGTATTTTTCAATTATTTTCTTTGCCAATAGTTAGTTCTCTCGTTCTACAGTTTTAATCTACTACAGAGATACCGTGAATTTCATTATTATGGTATTGAGCGTTTGTAGTAATCTGGTTTTATTACTGCTGATTGCTAATTATTAAAATTGTAGACCACAAGCGTTTGCCTGTCGTGGACACTGTATGTATTAGCCCAACATCAGGAAATACAAAGTAAGGTCCGAGATGAAGCTCGTAAAGTTTTGAAAGAGCATAATTATCAGCTAACATGGGATACATTGGATGAATTTGTTTATTTAAATAAAGTCCTTAAAGAATCCTTAAGGTAGAAAATAGCAATCGCTAGTCTTTTATGTACAAGTGTATATAAATCCAATTTTTGGCGTATAATGCAAATTTTAAAACTAGATTTCGTAAACAAACACTATATAGTCTCGTTTATATATTTCATCTGAAATGTAATTAGTAATTCTTTTAATACCTTAGACTGTACTCTCCAGCGCCCTTGTCTGCGCGTGAATGTGTTCAAGATGACGAAATTAAAGGCTATGTTATCCCTAAAGGAACAGTAGTGATGATCGTGACACCGCATAGGTAAAAATTTAGCTGCATCAATGACAGATGCAGCTTTTATTGCGGACTTTTCATGAAATTATCATTTTACATTTAAGTCACCTTCACGTTATTCATACAGCAATATAATTACAATAGGTGGATATGTCGAAGTAATCAATCAGAGCATGTATTATCATAGCTACGGAAAATTACAGTAACTAAATAAAATTCAGGAGTAAACTACATGCACGTCATAATTAGTACAATCAAGCTCGCCGCTATGCAACTGATCAGTTGCTCTTTGTAATACAGCCCCAAATATAGCTTGGATTATGATTGTAAGACTGCACCAGAATAGTAGTACTCGTTTATTGGATTGTATGATTTTGAAGATATCTATTTGTAGCAGAGGTTTACATACGTATTGTCGTGATACTATTGAGATGTTTATATTAAGACTTCATGATAGTAATAGATAGCGCTAATTATGTTAGTACTGTGAGAGTTGAATAGTGGTGCTTTAATTAGACGCGTAAATAATGAATAGCTCGCGCGATGATAAACTGTTATCTCGCGACTTAATTGGCAAGATATGATTGCAATGTGTAAAATTCATTCTGTAACAAAGGGTATATAAACCGCGAGCTTTCGCTGTAAAAGATATTCCAGAGATAGTCCCTTGGTAGTTATGAGACGAACCTGATCTTATGTAATAATGTGAAGTTTACAAGAAACTGTAGTTCGTGTTGTATTTTTAAGAAGACACTTTATCACACTCTTGAGTAAATTTAATGACAAAGACCCTATAAACGATAACATCTATTATACATGATCTTTCATTAGGTGGGAGAAATATTATGGAGATCCTCTAGAATTTAAGCCTGACCGATGGGATGCTATTGAAGCCGATGATAAGAACTCAAATTATACTTATATACCATTCTTTATTGGTCCTCGAAATTGCATCGGTAGTAAATTTGCGTTATCCGAAATGAAGTGTGTTCTAGCATTGCTACTAGATAGCTTTGTTTTCGATGTTGTTCCTAACATAGAAGTTAAGCGCAGATTAAGGATTACCATGAAACCTAATCCAAACCTTAAACTAAGAATTAGCGTTGCAAAGTAAAGATTTCAATCTGCTCTTGTTATTATTTTATTGCCTGTAAATCTTTGTAGAAGGATAATAGTATCTAAATTCGGGATTTATTGCACTGAAATTAAATTCATGTTGATTGCAGTTTATCTTAAAAATTTTTAATCGCGCTTTAAATGTATTGCTCATTAATGTCTATTTACTAATTGTTATGCCATGAATACATACAGTATATTGGCTAAACCCAAGACAGGTAATATTGTACTAGTTCTCAGTTCTTAGAGAGACTTTTACAATATATTAAAAGTGGAATTATTAGCCTATTTACTAAAATATTATAGATTAAATCCTTCGACGCAGCGATTCTCTTATTATGAACATAGTTATGCCATGAACTACTATAAATTACTACATGGTGACTTCTAATAGTCCGTAGATATACCAGCTGTACACATGTGTACAGCACATCATGATTACAGCATACGTTCAAATATTAGTAATGCTTTTAGTCCTAGTAATGTAGTAACTAACGAAAAATAATTTGCAGACAATTATTTTAAGTGACCGATTTTTATAGATTATATGGAATTTAAAGTGTGTGATTAGTACTTACCGTAAGCTTAGCCATGGATTACTAGAAGGTCTTCTCTAGTAGTCCATGGCTTAGCATTCTATGCGGTATGCCGTGCTATCATAAGACACAGCAGCAGTCGCAGCTTTGATGTGTTACGAGCATAAATAAATGCTTGCTTTACTATATAAACATCTAGATACGGATTGTAAATTTATAGCTGTTCCAATATGAATTTAAGTTTGCTTTTCAAAGATAATAGTGATAGAGGCTAACAACTATATTAGAATATTAGATGATAACCAGGCTTTAAAATTTTATGCAAAATCCACTAGTTGATAATTTGTCAATTTCGACGTAGAACAAGTAAATCTAATAATAGTAGCAGATTTACTGTTATTCGGTGAGCGAGACTTAAAATGCTAGTTACTTCAAACAAAACAGACGATATTATTATCTCAATAAATCACGATCATGGTGGAGAAAATAAAACGGATCAAAATGCGCCTTAAACACCTAGTATGATCTAAATAAATTTATATAAATATTAATTATACTTATTAAAGATAGTATTTTTAGAGGAAAAAAATCGATTATACTTTAACATAGATATAAGGCAGTGTGCGGATTACAATATGTAGATAGATTACATAACCTACGATTCTTTGATTGAGCAACCAACATCTACACAATACTCCGCTAGCAAATATAAATATGCGAGAATATAACCTAACGGATACACATTCTGTATGGTCATTATTTTTGATGAATAAATTTCTCATCTTAGTGTCTCTAAATATATGTCCAGCTACTTTGAAAGAATAGCATTAGTAATCTACATTTTTGATGAGTAATTCCAATAGATGAAAGTAGTAAAGAGATAAAGAAGCTACCTCAATTTACTGTACGATTATTTACTCGTTTGACTTTAACACCAATGAAAGACATCAATTTTATAAATCCTCATATTCAGTGATAGATATACATAAATTCGATATATGGATTTTGTCGAATAGAACAAGATCCATAGTAACATCTATACCTGCAAGCGTAGGTGTATATATTTATATTGGAATAATTACCGATACACGATCAAGTATTTGGGCACTTGCATGAAAGTTTCCGCTTTACTATACCCAATTGTACAGGAGTGGGCCGGACCGTACGAGAGACATTATCATCTATACTTAATAGAACCAATATTTTGTAGTATTATCCATCGAACTTACGGTAAGGTAAGATACTGTACATTGTCACAGATATATACAGTATAATTATCGTACTTATTGTACTCACTTATTTCTATGCGAGTTTCCATGGCAACGCCTATAATAATATAAGCGTTTTCAATACATGTCGCAATCACTACTTTAGCTGATGTAAAATCTGTAGCAGTGATTTGATCACATTTGCATTTCTACTCGATCGACAAGAGACATTATAGGCTCTGTTTCCTTCTCAAATATTGTCACTCTATATCTATAAAATTATCATTAAGCTCGATACAAATTTTGTTACAGTATGTACAAATAATCATCCAGAATTATTAGTGTATAATGCGGTTGTGAAGAAGATCGATCAAAGTATAATACATATAATTTAGTAAAGAATTAAATCTTAATTTGGTTTATTCTGATTCAATGGGTAACGCTAGGATTTAGTCTACTCAGAGATGAATATATCATTTACACATGCCCCCTAAACAGCAAGTGAGTACATAAAATTTAACTTTGATAGGCCGATTGTTCTTGTTGTCTCTTTCCTCCATTACCATTTCCGATAAAAATATTCAATCAATTTTGTCTAAACCATGTCTATGATGCTATAATTATCAGTTTTCTGAATTTGATATGTTCTGTAATAGTTAGGATACAATGAATTATTTCACAAGGAAAGCTAACATTATTGGTGATGACGAGTTTAGACATTATGCTAAACATCGAGAAGAAGGCTCTATACGAGACGCCGAAACTATCGGATACATAAATACCCCAAATGAAGAATTCTTGTTAAAAAATACAATCGATGGATTAAAATTAGATCAAGCGCAGTATTTTAATCTGCGTAATCGTCGTTTAATCGAAATAGGAAGCTTATATCTATGCGATAATTTGACCGTTTGTATCCTGGCCAACAATTTTATAAGGACATTTGATGCTCTTATTTATTGCAACAATTTACAAATGTTGGATGTTCATGGCAATCAGGTAAGTAACAACCGTATCTTATGTATTGATATTTTAACCCCATTTTATATGTATGCTAGAATAAAAGTGGTACAATTGAATTTGAAGCTTGTATTTTCAGATAAACATGTCAAATTTGATTTATTATGGTAGCCTTTACTACAACTAACGATCATGTAGTATTAGTGGCATTAATTTAACTGCGATAACTAATACTTACGTATGTATTTCTTCCAAATTTCATTGCAGATCGTTAATGTGCCATCTGTAGCTTTCTGGTCTACACTTTCGAAATTATCTGTTATGTTACTACATGATAATGGTATTAGTTCGATGAGTTGTGTAAGAAAAATTGCAAATAGTCCTAATTTGGCAATTTTGACCTTACATAATACGCCTATAAGTTTAAAACCACACTACAGACACCACGTTGTCAACAGCATTTTCACTCTCAAAGTGCTTGATAATTATGTCATCGCGGATGAAGAAATAATTGAAGGTTGCAAATTTACTGACCAATTTTCAACCAAAAATCAGTTTCTTTATTTAAAGACGGAAAGAAACTTTGATCAGGTTAGTCGCCAAGTTGATGCTGTCCGGTATAATTAATCTATCCAAACTCTTATTTAATAAATTTCCTACGTTTTTAATTGTTTTCTCAAATAAATGAGTAGATTACAAACGGTGATGAAGCAATAAAGGAAATCAATCTACTCTTATCAAGGGCTAATAAAATTATGGCTAAGAATTCTCCAATACTTATTATTCAACGTTATCTTCGAGGCTATTTAGCACGAAAAATACTAAAAGCATACATCAATCATAAAGATACTTCGTAAGTACTCTTATTACTAAATTACTTTACGGCATTTTTCATAAGTAATGAGGAATTATGAGGCAGCTGTAGGCCTAACTGAATAAACTAGAATATTAAGAAAAATCTCTTCACCTTAATTTATCTTCTAAAATATTAGTAATTATTACCGTACTTACATGACAGGCAAAACTAGCAGCTAAATGTCAGATCTTTATTGTTCGTCAGGATTAACATAGAAGACATTATGAACCAACATTTATCGCTGATAGCGGATGCAAACTCATCACAACAAGTATCGACAAATGTGGAACGCCAAATACAGAAAATCCAATCTGAAAAAAGCAATAAGAATAAGCGATATCTAGATAAAACATATTCTACGGTAAAACACGGTTCAATGAGAATGGGGAAAATTAAAACAAAAAATGTACTTAAAAAATCACAATCCAAAAAATCATTAGGAACGGTTTCTGATAATTATTACGCCACTGCTGAATCTCCAATTTTAATTCGACAATTTTCTCCTGCCTTGTCCACGCGCGACAATCAGATCGTACATTTAGACGATCCTAACTTCAACTATGATCAAGATTTTAATAATAGGGATGAAAGGTTTCATGGACATGAAGATTACTCTTTACCACCAATTCACGATGGTCATGGTATTATAAATTCAATGAATTCTAAACAATCCGAAGCAATATCACCCTTAAAAATTAATGTAGACTTACGAGAATTACAAGCACGGGCTGCACAATTTACAGAAGAGGAACGTTCAAGTGCTAGCAAGCAATTTAGACTAAGTAGCAGAGAGCTAAGTGCGATTAAGACCGGTAAAGAATTATTGAGCGGTCTTGAAAGGACTATGAAAAAAGAGAAGGTTGATAAATCCGATAAAGAACGATATTATAGCCCTCTTTCAGACTATAGAATGTCAGTACCTGAGGAAAGTAGGCCTCCAATTAGTAAAAATAGTAAATTTAGAAATTATAACGAAACTAATGAGAACGATGAATTATTTACTACCCATTTTCGGTTATCCGGTATGAAGGCTGCCACTACTGCCGTTGACCCTGTAGAAGAGATGATATTAAATAAGCAAGAAACTGCGAAAGATATGCGAGAAGCAAAGGCAATTTATAGGGAAATCATTCAAGAAAAACGGAAACCTCCTGTTGTTGAGAAACATATTACCCTTAATGGCCAACAAAGACTATATAAAAAATTATACGAAGCGATGAACTTATCCATTCTACGAAGTGTTGATCAAGTCCATAAGGACTGGCATAAATCGGAGAAAGCAATACAGAAAATTGATACAATTGCTAATCATCGCTTGCTTCATGATGTTCAAAAGGAAAGAATTCGACAGTTTCAACGCTACAAAGTGATGATAGCGCGTGAAGGTGGAATACAAGATAAAATAATATCAAGTGATGCATTAAAAATGATGGAAGAAGAAAGAGAAAGGGAAAATCTAAGAGTTCAATTTGCCAGGCAAGAATTAAATGAGAAAACAAAGCAGAGATTTGAGGAGATGGCTTTAAGTACAGATTTTAATTGCCAAGCTACTGCAATTGGTCGGGTCATAAGACAATATGACGGTAAAAAGCATCGTACAGAGATGAAAGATAAGAAAGCAGAAGGTGTAAAAGTAAGTCAGGAAAAAGCAATTGAAAAGCGAGAGATGGTTAACAAATACCTAGAGCATAAGCGAATGGTTCAACGCGCTGTAAATCAAGTAGAAAAGAAAAAAATTAATGGAAAACTATTAGAGGAAGCTAACGATAGAGTAATGCAGGCGCGAGCTAGAGTAACTTATCTTAAACAGCGCCATCGTGTTGCTAGCAATTTTTGCAAATTGCAGAATACGCTGCTAACATCTGAACAACCCCCTAATGCTGTTTCTAATATGAGCATTGCAATCGATGATCGATCATGAATAATATAGGTTATTTCTAAAGAAAGTTTAAGACTATAATTATATAGTTGTTATTAAATGGGCTTAAATTTAATTTCTGTTGATATATATCTACTCAACGACTGGTGGTTGACCAGAATCATGGCCACCTCATTCAATTATACTTAATTATCCAAGATATTACAAATTGCTACAGCATTGCTATCTACGTATCGTAGGGTAGATTGTGTACTATGTAATTACCTTAAAAATTCTCTACATTCGATTGTAATTTAATTAATTTACTCTTCTGATATATGAAGCCATGTTAGTATTGGAAAAATTTAAAATTTTGCCCTGTTCATGTGCTGTAGAAATTCACTCAATATGTATTGTATTTGCCAACAATACTACACTCCATATAACGGCTCTAAAAATTTTGTGAGTACAGTAGATTCAGGGTATTTTTTTATTATTATACAGTGGAATATGCAATAATTAATTGTGCAACTGTTTACTGAAGAAAATATCTTGAAGAAAAATTGAAATCTTCGACAAGTAATGAACGACATATTTTATTTATAAGTATATCAATACATAATGTAATGTGTTGAAGCGGAAACAGTAAAATCCTACGTTATGTTTTTTAATCTTAAGAGTTAATATCGTGAGATACTGCAAAAAAAGGCATTTTCAGTATATTAAATAGAGTCAAAAGTAGTTCGCATCACACGTTAAATACAAATCTTTTTCTGTGATGATGCATAATTTAAAAATAAAAATGACTATATTAAGCAATAGCAAATACGCACTGCATTCTGTACAATCTGAAATTCTTCAAGGTAACGGCCACACAGAGCTGATCGGATCAGTATTATTCTGTTAGAGGTGCCTTATAGCATTTGTATTTTATAGGTATAGTTCGGCCGTGATAACAAAAAATTGATATAAATTTCATATGAAACCAATTTCTGTTCAAAACATCCTACTTATCTGCATGACCTAATAAAATTGTAGATGAGTATTAATAAGTTCAGATATTTGTATTATAAGAAATAATTGCCCACAGAAACTATCAATAGTTTTGGAAATTATTGTTATGAGGCCATTTCCGCTCGAGAGTTGTCTCTTGGTGTTTCTCCATCATTTGATTTATCGATAGTGTAGTTGTCATCATTTTGTCTCTGTACTTTTGCATTTAAGATAGCAGTGCTAAATAAGCGGCAATATAATTCCAAGGAAGATAAGCTATCATCATTACCAGCAATCGGATAGGTGATAAGATTAGGATTACAATCAGTATCGACAATTCCAATACTTGGTATATTAGCCTGTGCAGATTCTCTTATTGCATCCATGTTGTATGGGACACTTAAAAAGATTATTAAATCAGGTAAACGAGGTACTGGTAGTAGTTTATGAGCGTTCGTCAGAATACCACCTCGCCATCTTTGTATAACGAAAAACTCTTGACATTCTCGTGCTGTCTTTTGTACAAGGTGTTGAAACTGCAAGTAGAATAAAATTGAATTTAATAACATTACTCATTCAATTTCAACAAAAATCGATGCGAACACGAAGCAGTTGCAACATTTGTATCTTTACTCGTGTACAAATTGTACAGTATAATAGCTGTCGACAGTAATATTGGTATAGAAGCCAGCATAAACATTGCGTAAAGTATTTTAGCATGGTTTGACAGCGAAAAAAAGTGTCAAGACTTTATCAACGTTTTTTTACATTCGTAAGGAAAGTGGAATAGTTTATAGTATTGGTGTGCATGAGAATCATTTATTTCATCGTGAGCGTTATTTTTCTTTACCTGAGGACGACAACAAACGAATAATATCACACCTTTGCGATATGCAATATGACTTGTTACATTTAAGGCCAGAAAAAGATGACGATCAGTCTCGTTTAAGTCGATAATATGATTGCCATGTCTATCACCGTAGATGTATTGCTTCATTAATGGATTCCAAACTCCAGTTTTATGGCCTAAATGTACGCCGGCGTCGAATAACGATTTGATACTGTAAAGCTGACGTACATCAAAAAAATCTTTGTGGGCTAGTGGATTGATACCTATAACAATAGATATAGATGAGAAGAAATATATAAGAATATGAACCGATATCATTATTAACTATTACCAATTTCTATTCTCGACTGTCATAACTACAAGGCTGATTTGCAGAAGAGAATGTACGTATGCCCACACGCTTACACGTTAACAGTTAACAACTTCACTATGCATTATTACAGCTACACATGTTACAGCTAGAGCTCAACAATCCCTTATTACTACAAACTACTGACAAATAGTCATAAAAGAAATAAAAATGATTGCGATAAGATTCTGGAGGAGAAAGTCCCTGACGATGTCAGAATCCATTTTTGCAAGCATCAAGGCAAATGAAGTTACCTGAGGGCTTACTTTCTGCCTTATCCAGTTTCCATGTAGTAGTAGAAAAGAGACATGATTGCCTATATAGCGTATTTCTACATGTCCACTGATTAGAATGGCAAACAAATGAGTTCCATTTCTGCAGCACTTGTCTAATCTTGGTACTCTTGTGCAACGCCATGATTCTATTTACTCTATACCATTTAGAGGACCTCAATTTCCTTCAACTTTATGCAAGCAACAGCATGGCTTACGCTGCGGCCAACGTGATCAAGGGCAGCACACACTACAGACCCTCATAGAGACCCTTATGGAGACCCTTATAGAGACCCTTATAGAGACCCTTATAGAGACCTTTATAGAGACCCTTATAGAGATCCTTATAGAGACCCTTATAGAGACCCTTATAGAGACCCTTATAGAGACCCTTATAGAGACCCTTTTTATAGAGACCCTTATAGAGACCCTTATAGAGACCCTTATAGAGACCCTTATAGAGACCCTTATAGAGACCCTATGAGGGTCTCTAGCACACACTGCGCAGTACTGTACTGTACGGCTTGACACCCATCATACTACAGTGTACTGTAGGGTACAGTACAAGACAGAGGGCTGTACGGTACACTGTACAGTACACTGTAGCCGATAGTACCAGTACAGTACTAGTACGGTACTAGTAACCAGGATCACGTGGGCCAACCGATATGGTACTAGACGTTTGTATGGACAGTAGTATCTATAACGCGAACTCTGACTGTGATAGTGATCAAGTGCAAGTAAAAGCGAGTGTTGGACGAGCAATAAATTCGCAAATTTCAAATCTCTCAAGCGAGCGACTTTAGATCTCAATCCTGCCAATTAATCTTGCTCATCCTACTGCAATTGATCTCATAAGAAGCAATATCTTTATTATTGTGAATCTGCTCGCATAGACTGTCTATCTTGAAGTACTACAGTATAGTTTGTATTAACAACAAGACGAAGAGCAAAATGGAGGCAATCTTTCATACTTTTGTCACTTCTTATTTTCTCAGCGAAGAATGTTATAAAGATCTTTTAATCAATTGGAATATAACCAATATTAGCTGTCTTAAGATGCTAATTAGTAAATCTTTAGGTTTTGCTATTGTAGTTGGGGCTGCTGTTGTAAAATTTCCTCAAATTATCAAGGTCTATCGTGCTGGTAGTGTTGAGGGTTTATCACTGCCGTCGTTGATCATGGAGTTGCTTGCAGTAGTGGTTAATGTGGCGTATAATGTTGTCAAAGGATTTCCTTTTAGTACATGGGGTGAAGGAGCCTTTCTTATGATTCAAACATCGATTCAAACTATGCAAATTTTATATTACCGCAAGCAACGTATACCTTTCTACTTGTTTCTACCTGTTCTTGCAGCTTTCTCCTACTTCTTAATCTCTGATTATTGTGGGCTTCCCTTGCTTAGCAAGTTAACCTGGGCATCGATGCCAACTATTGCTGCTAGCAAGCTAACGCAAATAGGCACTAACATTTATCATGGCTCTACTGGGCAGCTTTCGATGGTTACCATAGTTTTAATATTTGGTGGCTCCTTGGGCAGAGTATTTACAACTATCCAAGAAACAGCCGATCCCATCTTATTGACAACTTACATAGTGACATCTTCCTTAAATGGTGTCCTAGTAATGCAAATTATCTATTACTTTAATAATGTAATTGATAAAACTAAGAAGAAATTGTAGATTTGTAATGTGATACCGCTATATTGAGCTAAATCTAACCATATTGCCAAGCACGAGTTGATGATGACATTATTTAAACTACTATCTTTGTCAGCACTCGGTAATATGCAATAGGACCTCTTAACTTAAAAGTGTAATACTCGTTGTTTTGACGGATTAATTGATTGATTGTTGTCGAATGGATTTCCGATTAGGATCAGATTAGCACTTGCAATTTCATATCAAGTTATCGTAGGTCCCACAAAGAAAGCCAATCGACTTGAAATTTTGAAGTATTTTATCATTTACATTCAATAAAAGCGTCACAAAATAAACTGTAAGGAATATTTACGTATAGTTAATATAAATGGACTTTGTGTACAGTACACTGTATAGTGTATAGTGTGCACTATGGAAGAAAAGAAATGAACGAATAAGATGATCCCTGTCTGTGGATATTAATTTACTTGAGTTTATCAACCTGCTCTTTTAATTCTATTGCATTAACATCACATTATAGAAGCTGTAAATATTAAATTGCTTGAGTTTATCAACTTGTTAAGCTATTTTAATTGTATTGTATCAACATCGCATTATAGAAGTTTACAGCGAATTGTCTTGAGTACGCAATATTAGCTAGCACAGTGTCATTTTGCCTCTAGCTATTTCAATATTGAGAACATTTTTAATAATTAATTTGCGCTACTCTGAGGCATCCTAATGATGATGATCGTTTCGCTTCACTATTCCCTAGAAATTTTCAAGATTACCAGTATTGCTTTTAAAAAGGCCAGCTATATCATGGATATATACTGTAGTACTGTATGTGTTAATGACTCGCTCTTAAGTAGAACTAGCGCTTTGGTTGCTGTAATTAATTTTGAGTGCTTTCTGAAACGCCTTACGTATTTCGCAAGTTCTGTATATATATCGTCTAGATATAGCGGGTACACAGACAGAATTCATGTGCATACAGTATCATACTCTAGTAACAGAGAAGTAGCACAAGCAGTAAGGGTCTCTAGAGAGCACTAATGATGATAGCTCAAATATTGACATCATGCTTTTTTCATTACCATCGGTAGCCCCCATTCCTCTTGTTCTTTGCTAGGCTGCATCGACATCATCTAGCAAAATTTTGTCTAGGCACACAGACACAATTTATCTGCATGCAGCATCATATACTAGCAACAGAGAGACAGTATAAGTAGTGTATTGAGAGGCCTAATGATGACAGAGCAAATCCTTTCTCCAATATTGACACCACACGTTTTATTTCTTGGTAGCGCCTTGTTTCCTTATTGGAGGCCAGCTCTTGGACTGGAAAATCGACTTCAAATCGTTATTTCGTTCCTGTTGTTCCTCGTCGATATATATATATATATATACTCTACTCTACCGAGTCATATCTAGTAGGGTACTGTACCGTGTCCTGTAGTACCGTCCATAGTAGTCATACATTGATATATTACGCTACAAAAGAACTGTACAAGCAGACGAAAGCGAGAGCAGCTACCTGAAGCAATGCCCACCGCATCGCAGTAAGATACTAATCTATTGCAGAGAAATTATCATTACTTTAGCCATTTCTACCATTGATGCATTAACAATCGATGGACGAATTTCAAAAGCAAAAAAATCGGTGCTTATCATCGACAGACAACAGTATCAAAGGTAGTATCGATGCAAAGATTTTATCTTTAGTCCAGCTAATCAATGAAAACAAGGATTACTTTACAACTAGCTCCTGCTCTGGCAGAATAATGATATTCCGAAAGGTAAATGTTACAATGTTGAAACAGACTAGGTGGCAATACAAGTACTCAGTTTTTCAGCTCTATGATAAATCATTGTATTGCAGTTGTCATTAACTTTGATAGCTATCGCTTGTAATCGAGGTCAATAGTATACCTCTGTGTCAGCGAATATTACTGTACTGTCATGGTTTACATTTTACAACCTCTGCCTTCCTATAAATCCCTTACGATATATTATTCGTAAAATCAAAATGAATGCATTTTATGCAATATTTTACGGTAATTATGTATGCAAGTCATACTAGAAGAAGAGTGCATTAGAAGTATGATGTTCTAAGAGGTCAATGTTGAACTACGTATGCTAACAAGGAAATGAAAATAATTATTATTATTAATATCAATCGAAAAATATATAGGTTAATCAGCTGAAAAGCAAGAACTGCGAAAGTTTATTCGTCACGCATGACAGCATTACTGAGGATGATGTGGTATGCATGAATAATTTAATGTTGTAGTACTTTACAGAACTTCTATTAATTATTCGTACAATTCATGACTGCAATATTATTCAATAATCTATAAATTCATTATCGTCCACATATTAAATGCAGATACATGCATTGATAAAATGAATCTACAACACAATCAATGATATGCACTGCACTGTATTTGGCCTATAGACAGTAGTATTGAAATTTCTTCGCTGAAATAAAATTTTCTCTTTATTGGGTAATATCAATTCAAAATTACCAAACTAAGCAGTATTGTATTTCTGCTTCCTTCAGAATTTCTTACTCAATGGTCAGATTGAAGATAGTGTAATCTTTAAATTTGAGCCGTTTGTCCTTCATGTTCAATGCAGAACTATGAATCACGCTCGTTTACTGGTAAGAACGATGATTCTTAGTATTTCTAGTTTTTTTCAGCCAGTTTCAATAGAACTGATAATGTTGGTCCTTACTAAACATTTTCTTGCAGTTTTATACCAGCATTTAAAGCTATACCGCATTCTTTTCACTATTTAATTGCTATTTCAATTATAATAGCTAAAGGTAGCCTTGACCTCAGGATTTCGAAATTCTGGCATCGTTTTGGGTAAAAAAGAACGCTTAATAGTGGTAATTTAAAGTCCGAACTTCTATATTGTTGTCATTTTGTGACCGAAATTTTATTTTATCTTAGCATAATTTATAGTCATTAATAATTATTTACCAGATACGTAGTAAATCTATTGTTCATTTAATTAGGCTGTTCGTAGCACTCAAACCCTAGAAGTACCATTGACAAATCAAGGCGCTATGCTAATATCACAAGATGTAAGTGATAGTAAGATGAAGTAGCACCGCTTATTTATAAACTTCAACTACGATGATAGATCTTTTCACGTGGTATACGAAAGACAGTTTTCAATTGAAAGTGTTTTCACATTTAAATCTACTTTGCATTATACAGTACCTATATTTTCTACTACAAGTAGCCAACGAAAAAATGGATGATAATGATTTAAGGATTCGAAAGTAAATCAACTTTTTACATCTTACGAAAATGTACTGCTTTCTTACTATTACTATAGTTTTAAGCTAATATACTTGCCTTGACTCCACTCAAATAATGCACATAGGTTCGAAGTTAGCTTCCATTCTACGACGTTATCAGAAGGTTGGGTTTGTGCAATACTGTATAAGATTTTAAGATAAGGGTTAGCGTACGAGTATTACACAACCTGTATATAGGACAGCCAGTACAGCCTTAGATACAATGTAAGTTCTAAAATCCTTCAGAAGGAGATTTAACGTGCTTTATATCCCTATTTTATCTAGAAACGAAATGTAAGAAATCAAAATCAAGTACTCGACGAAGCCAAAAGGATTCACTGCAATCGGTCTGCTACTGCACTTGTCTATATCCCATGTATTATACTGTTTTAGTTATCGTCAGGAATTAGTAAAGAAAATAGAATACTTTTCATAGTAGCCATATAAATTACTATTTGTTATTAAATAAAATACCTTATGTTACAACTTTGCTTTAATTAAGGTATCAACTGCTCAAGCGTCTACGAAAAATTGTAGTTATGAGGATGGCCTACTTAATTTTTCCGATCTATTTAAAGAATCTGATTTTTAGTTTTATTTTGAACACCTGAAAGTTCCAAGTTATTTAAGGGAAACTTTGGTACCATTGAATTTTGTATAAACTAATGTCGAGATGATGGTATCACTGATAAAATTTCAAAATTTGATTACCGTAGCATGGTGAAGTGAATACGGCGCTTATGTTTACAATTACCACTGTAATCTGAATATCTACTCTAAGATTGTAATAGAACTTAAAGTTAGACCTATAAATCTTGAATAATAGCTTACTCTGTAGTTTTCTATTTTCTTAGGTGCTCTACAGTACAATGAGTACAGTATGCAACTATATATATTACTGTATGTAATTACGTTCTTAACTTTATTAAGAAGAAATTCATCTCATAATGGTATCCCACGTTACTGCAGAAGACACCTTGGATGGAACTTGCGTTACTTTAAAGGTGTCGGCAGTTCGGTGCCTGTTATACGTTAAATGGGACGCAGGAAACGTAATTAATATACATTATGTAAATATGGTCAATCGTGCCCACAAAACATTCGACTTTATCATGTAGGCTATATTTAATACTAAAGAGCATATTCCACAAATAAGTTCAATCTAGAATTAAGCATTTAAGTTAAGTAATATTTTAAAATGCATAAAATTATATGCTATGGTAATCTAAATATTGATTATCGTCCATCTAAAAAGAAATTTAAATCCTACATAATGATCCACGTACATGAATTAGTATGCAGCTTATTGCATATCATATCGGTTGTTCAATAAAATAAGTTACTATCGTAACGCGACTTATTACACACTGGTCTATGTTGCTAAATGAGAACCTTCTAAAACCTGCAGGATACTGCCAGAGACCGTAATTTTAATAATTTAAAATAATTAATAAGCTTCAAACACATATTTAGATAGGATAATTTCTCACACCCTTTACTAGCGCTTTTGCTTGTAGGATTCACTTAATTACCACAGGTATTATAGGAGCTCAAAATCAATAGCGCATTACAGAAGGTTTAATATAACATTAGAAACTTCGTTACACTATTTAAAGTAATGTTCTAACAATTGCACTCTTGTTTGCTAGCAGTGTACTACTATTTACTATATCGCCTTCATTCCTAGGATATCCCTAAAATTTGTGTCATGCCATTAAATAGATTACCCTAAACAAAGCAACAGACCTTTGGATCAAATTTGCAAAACGAGACATAATGAAAACATACAAATTATTAGCAGACACTTATTCAGCAGGGGTACTAAACTACTGAATTATTGCATGATGAAAATTTTGCGATAACACCCAGACTGTCAAGACTAGACGCCTAAACAAACTAATTTTAGTCCTATGTCGTTGCACTTTTCTTCTCTTTATATGTATAGACTTAGATATTAATAGCACCCTTTAGTTGTTTTTAATTGAAACCACACGCGTGTTTTAAAAATTGTTCTTAGATTGTATTAACCATTTACAGAGTCATCATCACGTAAGAGACATTTTTTTGCATCGGTGCATACCTGGCCTTATATACGGGTGTACGCAAAGATGATATCGAAATACAACCAACTAATTTATGCAGGATTACGACAATAACTAATAACAGAGGGGACAAATTGCTATTATTGTACTTTGACCTGAACTAGTTGTAATAAAAATCATAGCTATACTCTCAATAAGATATTTCAATAAAATTTGCTACGGTTGTCGTAAATATTATGTTTAAATTTATGGATAATTTACAAGCATTAAATTCATCATAATAACTGTATATTGATTCTGGGTTTACAGTGTACGTACGTTGACATTCCGTATTGAAATTCAAGTGAGAACATTAAAAGAAGCCACACAGTGTTTTATGGATATGAAGCACGTCGAAGGTATAAGCTTCTAATAAGCCAGTATTCTCAATTTTTAATTAAAGTGTAAATATGTTCTTAAGCAGGAAATTTCAAGTATTATAAGCAATTTTTACAAAATTAAAACTTCAGTTAAAAAAAACGTCAAAGTTGGCAAGAAATATTTTTTTTTAGCATGTATCCCTCGTTATCACAAACGCTGTACTATTTGTGTGTCATATATTAGGCTACCAATAGATTGTTTTATTTATTCAGCGTATTACATATGCATGAGATAGCGAAGATGCATACGTATTAAGATTACTTGATAAATAAATACCGTAAGTGATGTAGGGCTTATTATCAGAGCATGCAGACATACGATAACTCCCCATGGCGGAATTAGTATGGATAGGGTCGGAAAGTGTTTATTTCTGCAGTTAACTAATGCTGTTTAATTAATGTATTAATTAAATGTTTAGTTCATTCAGTATATTTACAAATTTGTAAAATTAATTATTAAATCTTCAGCAATTTAAAATGTTTTTGAATAATCAAAGCTCGGAATAGCCTATTTAAGACGGTATGTAGGCACATTTTAACCATAAGGAATAATTCATGATTGCAAGATAATTAAGTTCAATGAGTTCAGCAAAGAAAATTCTGAAAAATAAGGTCAAAACTTGATGATTGCATTAAAATCCTAACGCTCAATAAATATCGTCGTGAATTTAAGTCATCAAGATTATAGAGTAACAATAACCTAACATATTAGTGTTTCAGATTTCACGGATGTAATGTTTATTATGTGATATACTCGTATGGTAGTTATTATTGGGTAAAATTAGGTGATAATCGCGTGTCGTGTAATTCTTGAGAATTCACAAAATAAAGAGAGAACATTGACTTATCGATTTTGAGTACGAGATATAACGGTTACGTATACCGTAAATTTAAATTCCATGCTAACAATGATGTATCGATATATTCTATAGGACTGTATGAGTGTAGCACTTGAGCCTTTCTACTCTTAAATCTAAGGCGATAAAATATTGCTGATGCATAATCACAATAAATAGATATCCTAGTAGTTATTATTATACATGCAATAATCCCTTTAAAACTATGCATTGAACGGTGAATGCTCGCGAATAATGAAACCAAATTAACAAATCACGGAGGAACAATATTCCGACTTGATTCGGTTTGTAGCATATTTCATAGCCTTTTCAGCAATGTCAATACATATATATGTATACATATATATTCACTCTTCTATCTTCCTATTTCGCGAGAGAATACACAATCTTTATTGCACAGATCGCTTCTATTCAGTGCTAATAATAAGCAGTTTAATACAAATCAACAAATATTATGAATAGGTTTTGAAAAGGTGATAGACTTCGAAAATTTCAAGTTCTTAAAAGAAGACTAGAACTTAGTCAATAAACTATGAATAACTCAATCCATTCATTACTTCGGCCTATTTTACCATAGCGTAATAAAGACGGATGTATAATACTTATGCAAAAAAGTGATCATACTACAAGAATATATCAATCGAGTACCCTGCTACTGATATAAACGATCTTTAGATAATTAGGATGGAATGATGCTGAAAGACACTCACCAATATAGCTCCATAGTACAAACTATACTATGTGGCAATTGCACAAGTATTATTAGCATTTCCCTGTATCAATTATAACGTCACTAATTAATGTAGAAAATAGAGGGTTAGCCGCCTAGGTACACTTGCGAGCATCTGGGCTAGATTTGAACTGTGCAAAGATCTTCTCATCAGCGATGTATCGGTATCTCAGCTGATAAATTACAACTTGGATGATCACGATTTCATTACCATGGCAGAAATACGAAATCAAGCTATTTTTCCCAGTAAGAGATACTGGTCAATAATTGCTACCGACCATATTTCGCTATCTTAATTAAAGATTAGGCTCCTATCATATACGCGTAAATACAGCATTACATCACAAGTTCGGACTCAAATATTTCTGCATATTTAGAAAAAGTAGACTATTAACATGATCTATGGCAATATACTGTACATAAATATTTATAATTATCATTATACAAAATCACAGGTATACTGGTAGATATAATTAAGATTTTCAGTAATGTCAATCAATCGAGCAAGTCCTCGATGCATTTACAATACATAGATAAAATGCAAGATATCACAGTTATGTATTGATAATTTGAGTATAGCAAAAATACAGTGCAGTGATGATCACTTGGAGTCTTCCTTTGGGATTTTAATTGTTATCTATCTCCATTTGATGTTCTTTAACTAGTTGATTTCCCTTTTGTAAAGATTTATTACTACTTGATCCTACTACAAATAGAAAAGCAAAATTCCAATTTAATTGAGGTATCCATAACATGAGCGCAGAAGCATAAAAATACTTTAAATTTCCTTATCCTATCCTATTACTAGTAGTACATCATTCCTGTCGCTGCATCTTAACTTAAGTTCAGCAAAAGGTGATTACGTGTAGGATTACATAATACATAATACAGGTGGTAAGAATTCGACAAAATTTAACTATGTACTATTAGAATATTTACTTATAACTACAACAAAATAACTTACTGCATCCAACAAATAACGTACTAGACGAAGTTATACGGTACCTAAAGTACCTCACAATGTAGTAGACATTAATGCCTAGGAATTATACTGTAATACGTTGGATACCTTCTATGTCCATTTGTGATTTCGCTAGTTCAACTTTAGCTAGGCGCTTTCGATACAGTCTTAACTTCTTTCCGGATAGAACAATATTGGCATTAGGATTACTTCTGTAAAATTTCCATTAATATGTAAACATAAGTTTAACATACGTATGACGGGGTTCGATTATGAGTTCGTGGCTGATGTTAATTTACAATACAGCATAGAGAATAGAGGAACATACGAGCATCAGAAGGTTTTACATGCTAATGTGCTATCACCTGTTCTGCTTTGCAACAT